TTTTTTTTTTCGTTGGTTGTGGGGGTTTTTTTCTCTCTGTTTTGCTCTTTTGTAAGCACTTTTCAGTGCTGATTTTTTTCCAGCCCCTTCTAGCTAACAGGGTTGCTTTCTCTGGAAGGGAATTAAGACAATCACGGTGAAAAGAGGAGAATAATTATATGATAAAAAGGACTTAGATTTGTTTCCATTAAGGGGAATTTATAGCAAATTTGGGGGGGCTGGAGTGGATCGGCTGGAAACCGCATGGGCTTGGGAGGGTTAAAACCTGGGCAGAAGTTCAGGCTGCGCTGTGTGACCTCTTAAATTTTTTTTTGGGGGGGTTGAAAAACACAAACCTCCAAGGGTTTTTTGTTTTTTTTTTTTTAATTTTTAAGGGCATTTTGTGTAATTTTTACAAAGCTGAAAGTGGAACTGAAGTTTTCAACGTGAGCTGGGGAAAGTGGAACTGGGGACTTTTTTGCTATCGAGTCGACGGTCTCGTTTCTCAAACATTATCTCGGCGCCTCAGCAGCTCCCGCAGCCCAGGGGCGCAGGGCTTCCAGCTCGGCCCCCGCTGGGAGATAGGACAAAGCCTGGGCTTCCTGCCATCCACTTTTGGCTACCAGCAGGGAGGGGGAAGCCCCACCCCTTTCCAGCCCACCCATGTTAAGACTTTTTCTCTTCTCTAGTGCCAAATTTAACCCTGAAACAGCTTCTGAAACTCCAGCTGAGCACATTCTCAAGCCCTAGATGTGCCTCCTGCGAATCCCTCACGCAGGGGAAGGGGAATTCTTTGGGCGTTTTTCCTGCTTTTTCCTGTTTACTGGGAACAATAACCCGTCCCTCGGTGGCTTTAGACCTAATTCCCAGAATGCAGTTTTATTGTTGTGCCAAGCCCAGCTTGCCAGGGCACATTCTTGGCAGGCTTTATTATTTTATTTTGTAATGTTAAAGTACACAATACCCAGGAAGGGGCTGAAAGCTGTTGCAACGCGTTGGCTCTGGTACAGGAAGACAAACAAGCGCTTGGCCCCCATGCAAGGGCGGGTGTTGGAGGAACTGAGATAAGGGTTTGCTGCTTGCAGCAAAACTTGTTTTGCTCTGCAGCAAACCACAAGCTCCGCTTCAGCCTGTCAGGGACTTTGCTTCCTCCCTGCTGCAATGGCTCCTGACCCCTTTTGCAGGTTTGGCTCCCTTTGTAAACCCTAAACCACTAAATAGTTACATTTTTTTTTCTTTCACCATCTTTTAATATTTAAACTCCCTTTAAACGTCTGGTTTTTCTCTCCCTTTTTTCCTCCTCTCTCCCTTTTTCTCTCTTTTTATCTTTCTCTCCCCCCCGTCTTCTATTTTTCCCCTCTCCCTTTTCATCTCCTCTCGCTTTGTCCTTCTTTGTCTGTCTCCTTCCCAGCTTTCTTTCCCCCCTCCCGCCCCGATGGGTTTTTAGCGTAGGACAAACACGCTCTCCTGCCACGGCTTCCCATGATACCTGGTGCCCACGAGGTCTTGGGGTGTTGCAGAAATAAAAAACAAAAAACAAAGGGCTTTGGACAGCTTGATGGGATCTTGCAAATGCAGGAGGCATGGCTGGCCGTGGGCTTTCTCAGACTTTTCCTTGTTATCACGCTGTGCCGTTTGCAGTCCCCACAGACTCTCGTGCATGTAAACCCCTGGGTGAGGGGCATCTCTACCTGCAATGGGGAAAGGAGCCCAAAAGCCAAAGTCTTCAGTGGAAGAGGAAGAAGTGTTGAACAACTGCGATAAGGGGAAAGGAGCCCAAAAGCTTTCAGAGCAAGGGGAAGCGTTGAACAACTGCAGCGATGTAGAGGAAGGATATAAACGTGGTAAGGCTGGGGAAAAAAATCCAACACTCCGGGTGAGGGCAGGGGTTGGGAAGAGCAACTCGCTCCGGTGGAACACCAGTGGGCTGGGGATGGAGTTTTTGGGTGGGTGCAGATAGACCCAAGTACGTCCACCCTGAATTTCCTGATGGGGCCACCTCTAAAGGCTGAAAAGCCTAAATCCATCTCCAGGTCCTCAAACACGTGTTGGGGTCTTTGAAGGGCACGTCTGCCCCTCCTGCCTTGCAGGCCTTGAGCCTCTGCAAGCTCTCCCCGCCCTCCCCAGCCCCAGAGAGGTCCCTGTCGCAGCCGGGACTTGGGACGGACTGAGGAGCCAGCAGAAATTCCTGTGTCAGGAATGGTGTGGGCAGCAGGAGCAGGGAGGGGATTGTGCCCCTGTGCTCGGCGCTGGGGAGGCCGCACCTGGAATGCTGTGTCCAGTTTTGGGCCCCTCAATACAAGAAAGACATTGAGGTGTTGGGGCGTGGCCGGGGAAGGGCAACGGAGCTGGGGCAGGGTCTGGAGCACAGGGCTGGTGGGGAGCGGCTGAGGGAGCTGGGGGTGTTCAGCCTGGAGAAGAGGAGGCTGAGGGGAGACCTGATCGCTCTCTACAACTGGGCAGGGAGGGGGTGTTGGTCTCTTCTCCCATGGAGTTAGCGATAGGACGAGAGGAAATGGGCTCAAGCTGCGCCAGGGGAGGGTTAGGTTGGAAATTAGGAAAAATTTCTTCACGGAAAGGGTGGTCAAGCACTGGAACAGGCTGCCCAGAGAGGTGGGGGAGTCCCCATCCCTGGAAGTGTTCAAAAAACGGGCAGAGGTGGCACTGGGGGACATGGTTCAGTCTGGTCTGCCCTTGGTTGGCTTAGAGTGGGCTTGGTAGTGTAGGTTAATGGTTGGACTGGATGATCTTAAAGGGCTTTTCCAACCCAAATGATTCTACGATTCGATGATTCTAAAAAGGAGCGGAAAGGACCCAGCCCACACGCTCTCCGGCTCTTTCCTCCCCCAGGGTCCATCACCAAGCAGCCCGACTGGAAAGGATCCCACTCGTTGCGGGTTTTCATCCCCGTGTGTGTGGTGCTGGTGCTCCTCATCTTCGCCCTGCTGGTGACCTTGACCGGTGAGTCCCATCCCCACGGGAAAGATCTGGACCAGGCCCTGCCCCGTTTCAGGGAAAGGGGGATCACAGGATTTTCCCAGCAGCAAAGCGACGCTCCCCAGGCAAAGCGCCAAGCCTGCTTTGGGGGGAGGAAACCCTGGTTTGTTCCCTAAACCGTGATCCCAGGCATCCTGGCTCCTCGCTCGGTCACGCCATTCACTTTCCCAAGGGCATCATCCCCAATTCCCTCTCCCCCTGCAGCTTCTAGGAAAAAAATAAAAAAATCCCATTCTCCCACTTTTTAGGGCTGCCCGTGCATCTTGGTCATCTTTTTCTTTTTCAGTGGTACATTTGGGACACCGTTTGCCTCGCCCCGAGTTCTTCCATGTGTGCCCAGACACCTGGCTTGGTTTCCAGGGGAAATGTTATTATTTTTCTAAGACTGAGAGCAATTGGACCGACAGTCAGGAAATCTGTGAGACCATGGGAGCTTCGCTGGCCCTCATAAACACCGCAGATGAACTGGTGAGAATTGTGCTTCAGCCCCTACACTAGCACCAGGGTGGGGAAATGTGGGGGAGGTGGGAAGAGGCAAAAAAAAGAGGAGAAAAAAAAAAAAAAAGAGAAAAAAAACAGACCAAAAAAACCTGCTTGGCTCTAAATTGCACCCGGTGCTGTAGCCAGGAGCAGATGCCTTGGGGAAAGCGCCTGGGTGGGGTGATGGACACAGGTGGAAAAGAGGAGGTGGGGAAGACAAGACAGCTAAACCCACGACATTTCTTTGCTTTAAAGGCCTTCATTAAACGCTATAAAGGCAAAGCTAACCACTGGTTTGGGCTGCGCAAGGAGGACGACAGCTGGTGGTGGACCAACGGCACAGCCTTCAACAACTGGTTGGTCCAACTCTGTCCATGCTGGGTGATGGGGTTGGCAACCAGGGCAGGTTTCGTAGCATGGAATCACGGGACGCTTTGGGTGGGAAGGGACCTTTAGGGATCACCCAGCCCAGCCCCTGCAGTGCCAGGGACAGCTTTAACCAGCCCAGGGTGCTCAGACCCCGTCCAACCTGGCCTGGGATGTTCCCAGGGAAGGGGTCT